CCGTCTGGGGTCATTCAGCATGATGGAGGTTTTTAATGCAAGTTTGATTTCTGCTTTCTTTTTTTTGGTTTGAAGACGGCAGAAAAATGGCGACGACACGTTCAGCTGTGCAAAATTTTAACAAAATCTGATGATAAATGTGATTAAACAAGAGTTTTAAAGACTTTTGGAATCATAAATCATCTTAAAAAGGCCTTTTTCACCCAAAATTAATGTTTTTGTCGACTTGGGTTACATTTTTCTGACCAATTAAGATTTCAGGACTTATTTTTCCCATTTCTGGTCATTTCAATGCTTCAATGTCTTTAAGTGAAGCTAGAGACCTGCACAGTCCTGACAGTGAACATCAAACCTGCACTTTTTATTGGATATTTGACATGAGAGAGCTTTTTAATGTGAGTTTTGTTGCTTGATTTTTCTCCTCTGCTTTGAAAAGGGCAGAAAAAATCATGACGTCATGCGAAATTTCAACAAAATCGGATTAAACAAGAGTTTTAGGGAGTTTCTGAAGGATAAATCATTTTCAAAAAGCACTTTTTCATCCAAAATTAACATTTTTGTCAACTTGGGTTACATTTTTCTGACGATTTTCAATAAAATTTAAGATTTCAGGATTTATTTTTCATCTCAAAGTGAAACTAGAAACCTGCTTGAGGTGCATAGTCCTGACAGTGAACATCAAACCTGCACTTTTTTTGGTTATTTGACAGGAGACAGCTTTTAAATCGTGACTTCATGCAAACATTTAATAAAATCTGAAAAAACAAGAGTTTTAAAGACTTTCTAAATGACAAATCATTCTCAAAAAGTAGCTTTTACCCCCAAAATGAACATTTTTGTCAACTTGGGTTACATTTTCAATAAGTTTGAGATTTCAGGATTTAGTTTTCTGTCTCAAACTGAAGCTAGAAACCTGCTTGGAGTTCATAGTCCTGACAGTGAACATCTTTTTTTAAAGAGGTTTTTAATGTGAGTTTTGTTCCTTAGATTTTTTCCCTCTGGTTTGACGAATGCAGAAAAACTCAAACTTTTAACGAAATCTGATGCTAGACGTGATTTAACAAGAGTTTTAAGGAGTTTCTGAATTTAAAAAAGTCCTTTATATCCACCAGAATTAACATNATGTTTACATTTCTAAGCATCCAGAGGAGTCCTGACTTTCCTCTATACAGAACTTAAAATGACAATAAAGGCTTTTTGATTCGGATTTTAGTTGAAATTTGGAGTCGAATGCCATTTCTCATGTGTTCTGACACGACAACGCTGTTAAACATCTGGAAAAAACAGAACAAAAACAGGGACCAGTCTAACACGAGCATCGATTTCAGTTCCACGAACTCTACTCGAGCTATTTTAAACTGCTGCTGGATCTGTATTTATCACAGCCGTGAAGTTTAGTAAACTCCGGCCTCTTCTTCTTTTTTTAGTTGCCTTTGTTATTATTAATCACCTCGTCGTCTTAACAGCTACCTGGTGCATCAGACGCTGCCGGATTCGTTTGCTTGCTCGACTTTAATCACACTCCCACACTCGGCTGCTGCGAGGAAACATTTCGGGGAGTGTTTGTGTCGGCCTTTGATTGCCGCGACGCCTTTACGAGTTGCTCTCTCTTGCTCAGACGTTGCATGATGCGTCTGTCAGACGCTTCACTCGCCTCTTTCACCCGTTGGCCCATAACCCGAGGCTAAAGGCAGCTTAGGCCTCCTTCCCCCGCCTCCCCTCAACTCTGAATGATTAATACCCAGAGTCAGGAATCCAGGTCAGGACAGACCAGAAGCTGGTTTCCACTGAGCGGCTAAATGGTGCCGAGCGAGGCAAGAAACAGCTCCACACGTTTGTTATGACACCGGTCAGCATGTTGATGAGCTGATGTTCTGGTCCAGACTTTAGACAGTGATCATCAGTGTTTATGGATCATATCTGTACGTCTACATGTTATTTCTAACATCTGAGGCATCCACAGAAAGTCACTGAGTTTTCTCTTCAAACGTCCTGAAATGTGTAATTAATCTAAATGAACATGAAGTCGAATTAGTGTTAAATTAACGCGTCGATCATGGAGATAAACTGAATTTGTGGAAACGTGAACAGATACTAAAAAGCTGCCAAAATTATTTTGCAAAAACAGATTTGCAATTTCACACAAAAAAAATTTGCATGAATAAAAAATATCTGTTAAAAAAATTAAATTAATTTGCAAATAACTGAAAAACTTCAGGACTATCACGCCTCATCTGTCTGTAAAGTCTTTATTTTGATTCTACTTTTAGCCTTATTGTATTTTTTTTTAAGCCTCATTTGTACATAGCTGCTGTAACATCTACATTTCCACAATATAATTTATCTTATTTTGTCTTTCTAGTATTTACGATTTACAAAAAAAGGCATTTTTGGGTCAAATGTTCTGAATTAAAAAAGCATTTGTGGATTTATTTTTGTGTTTTTTCTACACATACAGAGCTACGTGACAACAATCCGCTTTGATTTGTGGAAATTATTATATATTTACACACATTTGCCTGCAAACTGTCTTTCTGGTCACACAAATAAAATTAAGACAAATCTGTCTTCGTATATGATCACAACAATAGCGTAGCTTTGACAAACACTTGTGCAGTTTTGTGTTTTCATGCTGACGTCAGAAAGCTTTAAAAGTCTCTCAGGTTATATTGTTGTTGGGAAATTCAAGGCTGCCACGATGCTTTTGACAATAAATACGGTGGAGCTCGAGCAGCAGCGGATCTGGAGGTTAAAACATATCCTCCTGTAATGTGGCTGAATCCTGATTCTTTAGGAGCTAAAACTTGTTCCTTTAATCCGAACCCACTCACATGCATTAAGGTATCTGTGAAGTACAGAAACGGCTCATAGCAGAGAACCGGGGACGTAAACACAGCTCGCCTCAGCCTCGCGTGACCTCGCTGTGGAAGCTGGTTTAAGTGCCCGAGGTGATTAGCCAAACGGAGCAGAACGAGGGATCACGCTGGCCGACCAACGCCGCAGAAAAACAAAGCGGCACGAGCAGGACGCAGAGATCTCCCGTACCTGAACCTCACCAGAGACGTTTTCAAGAAGCCGTCATTTATCACCGAAGCTGCTTCAAATCCCCCAAAACCCATTTTCTCAATCAGCTTCTGGCAGCTAATGAGCGGCTCCTAAACGAAGCCTCACACCGTCTGGGGTCATTCAGCATGATGGAGGTTTTTAATGCAAGTTTGATTTCTGCTTTCTGTTTTTGGTTTGAAGACGGCAGAAAAA